AGAGAGGGTGTGAGAGATTGGTTTGTGAAGTGGTAGTAAGGTGAGGGAGAGAGGGTGTGTGAGAAATTGGTTTGTGAAGAATTAGTAGAGGGAGGGTGTGAGAGATTGGTTTGTGAAGTGGTAGTAAGGTGAGGGGTAGAGGGAGGGTGTGTGAGAGAATGGTTTGTGAAGGGGTCCATGAGATAAAATAGGAAGAGAACCACCTAGTAAAACATTGACGGAATCTCTAACACTATTAGTATTGAAGAGTGAGGTGCTCAGTAAAATGAAAACAAGGAGAAGATTAAAAAAATCACTATTATTAATGGAAACGATATAATATTAATAATCTGGCTTGAAATACAAGTGAATGTATTTAATAACTCTTTCATTAAGTGCAACCTGTGCGAGGTTTTATCGTGTCTCGAAACTAACCGTCAAACAGACCTTCCAGATCACGATCAAGAAACACGAAATGTGACAAATTACTGAAAGATGCTGACGGCATACCACAACTACATCGTTAATATCTTACGACATACATAATCTCTGTAAATAGTATTATGAAGCCAACAATTAACCAAGTAACGTTAAAATGCAAATTGTTTTTCTAGGAAACATTTTCCATTTCCTTTGTACTGAACTTGTAGTTTTAGATCATCAGTTATTCAGGTCAGTTCCATTCGAAGAGTTTCTAGTAACACGCACAAAATGCCGTTATGAAGTACATTAACCAGCATGATATTCAGTGATTTGTTAGGCTTAACTGCGTAAACATGTGAATTAGAATGTCCGTTTTATAACCAGAATAACTTATTAGCCATTAGCAAAATGACTATCTTAAAATAACTGAAACTTACCAAAATTTCATAAACGACAACGCCACAAGATGGCCATGATTCCTAAAATTTCCACACAAAATATTAAATCTGTAAAGTATTCTAAACAGTCTATAAACGTAAACCATACATTGTACATGTCAGTGCAATCTATGTGTAAGCCTGCTTTTGTAGGAATTACATCAATTATCAAACATAAAATTCGAATGAGCTAAGCCTAAATCAAGAATATGGTTTCAAATATATAATGTTGAAAAAAAAAGTTAATTTTATTTTTAGATAGGAAATTACGCACTAAATCGCTTTCTGGCATGAGACCATCAACTAGAAGCAGCACCAATTCCTTACCGACAGGTGGCGTTAGCGTCGGTAATGGAAATGCTTCATCCAAGCCATCGATACGGAGTGCACCGGCTTCGGCAGGGTCAGTAAATCAGGTGGACGTTCCTCGCCCGTGGGTGAGGTGCCTAGAGGTGAATAAAGCACTGTGGCATGAGAGAGCAGCTAAAGGTAATGTATGAGCTATCTAAACGTTCCATAGCTAAATAACACTTAAATCTGTCTCTACAAAAACAAAACAGAAATGACAATAAACTGGTTCTGAGCTTTAGTCTTACCAAATTTTATTATTAACCTCTGAAGTGAAAATTGAAAATGGTGGCGCTCGAGTCGCGGTGACTTAGTCGTCTGAAGCATCTTAATAATGACACAAACCGTCGGTTCGAATCGTGTTCTGTCTCAGTTTCACTTTTTCCGACAATTTCTAAAGATTATTCATGGAACGATGACAGAGATAGGATTAGATCTATAAAACACATGCCACATGAACACAGCTTTCCGCTATTGGCAACATCAGGAATGTGTCATGGTGAAAGAAGATTAGCGCCATAAACCATATTTAATATGTACACAGTGCTAAAAGTTTTATGGGTGCATTTGTTAAAATCATCTTTTGGCTAAATTGAAAACGAAAATTCTAGCTTCCGGGAAAACGTGAGGATGTTTAGAAACGTTGGATGAGAGAAGGACACGAGATATTGGCCCTTTTCATCCACATTCCGAGTTTGGAGACAGAATTTCAACTTTTGGGTGCGTGCAACAATATACACGTATACGAGAAGGTATTCTATCGTTATCTCAGACCTCGCTCACCTCGCTCTCAGATTTGAATCCACGTGACGTGGCTGTACAACATTAATTTTTGCTATTTTCTATGGCAGACGACGTGGTAAAGATTATAAACAGCTGTTGAAATCTAATTTTCTTATAATACAATGAACAACTTTATTCCGAAATGATCTTTATTTGACATACAATAATTACGTTTACCCCTAAAGAGGTGTTGTTATATATAGGGCCACTTAAAGGGAGGGGGACCAGGAGGGCCATTTGGTTTAAAGGGGGGCTTCAATTGTAGACAACTGTTATTTTTTGCATCTGTTAGGTTTCGTGACTTGCTTTACGCACATAAAAATGCTAGACAAGCATTTATTAAATGTTAACGAATATTGATAAATACCTGTTAAATAAAAAATATTCAAATTACATTACACTTTTCTTTTGGGCTAATGATTGTCTTATTTTGTTTTCATGTGTCATCATTTTTTTACTTTTATTATAGCCAAGGGCCTCAAAAAACAGAAGTGGCCCGGGTCTTTCTGAGAGGCTCTGGTTATATATATATATATATATAACAACTGTCATTAAGGCTAACCCAAACTGGACGTGAGCGAATAGTTTAGAAATACAGCAATCAAAATGGAAGAAACCAGTGCAGCAGGTACCTGATGATGATAAAACCTTGTCGAAACGTTGTGCATTTGCTGTTATGTTAAACTTATATTAAAGTACCTGATGATGACAAAACCTTGTCGAAACGTTGTGCATTTGCTGTTATGTTAAACTTATATTAAAGTTTTTCTTCATTACCCATTCAAGCCGTCTCCAGCCATTATTAGTCTCAAAGTGGGTTCCTCGTCATCGAATTTAACTTTATTTTGTAATATTCTGTGTGTGTGTGTGTGTGTGTAATAACATAAAGTAATCTGGTATCATCACTTGTATCAAGTACACGTTGCTCGTTCATGTGGGGACTGACATTTTGTGACGAGACTGATGTAATATAAAATATTTCCTTTGTTAACTTATAGATATAAACTCAAATTACCTTAAAATATTTCCTTTGTAAAGTAGTTGGTACACGAGTGTCACAACATGAGGTATTTTTACCCAATTAGAGGTGTTTTTGTTATCAACCACCCACACTACCCCAAAATAACAATACAACGTAGATTTGCACCGTGAGTTGGAAGTTTTTATGTATCATAGAACAATTGATATTATCAAATATGCATTTACGTTCAATAAAAGATATTCTTATATGATAAGAATAATATTATGTTACAGAGATCTTTTCGTCAAAGGTAAAATTGAAAATATATTCTGTGACGTAGGGGCCTAATGTGTTCTTTGATTGGCTGAATCCTCTGTCGTGGACTGCAGTTCAGCCTATTCAAGGTTCATCTGCAGAACCTGGTCTAGAAAACCAAAGAAATACAGTTAGGCCTCTTTTAATAGTGAAGTTTATATTATATTTATAATTATAGTAAGAATTTGCTTTGTGACCTAGGCAATGAATGGTCCTCGTAAGGGTCTGTAAGGACCTGTTTCATATTTAGGTCAAAATTTGCACAAACATGCTTTTTCCTTATTATTAAGATGGCAGCAGGCACCAACGTGTGCAGTTCTGTATGTTCATGAGAGCATGTCTTCTGTATTAGCTACTTCTTTATAAAACAAGTAATTTATTTATTAACAAATCTGATAACAAGTGTGACAAACTGAAGTTTTTATACTTATGGCATCATGTTTCAAAATGGCGGCTTCATGAAAACATTTGTACATTATTCGAATGAATCTTCACTGTTGTCACTTAATCATATATATCACGGTAATTTGAGTTTATATCTATAAGTTAACAAAGGAAATATTTTAAGGTAATTTGAGTTTATATCTATAAGTTAACAAAGGAAATATTTTAAGGTAATTTGAGTTTATATCTATAAGTTAACAAAGGAAATATTTTAAGGTCTTTCAACGGGTAATTATTTACACGTTAAAACTTTAATCTTTCATTGGACAGTTAATTACACGTCAATAATTTGATTTTTAATAGATAATTCTTTTACTACATGTTCATACTTTGATCTTTCAACGGGTAATTATAGATGACGGTTTTAGTTAATTAAAATATTATCACATTTCCTTCAAATAATTGGACCAAAAATGTTCCGTGTTTCTCTCTCTAGCAGGGATTACTAATTAAAACTGTAATCAGTAGGAGTTCAACTTGAAGTCATTACAAACCCTTTTCCAATTGAACATAATAATATAATATAATATTGTAGATAATAAAAATTTTCTTTTCTTAACTCTCGATAATACTTCTTTGTTGTTTGAATTCCTACAATAAAGACCAATCACAGAACTTTAAAATTTCTAAGCTTAACTCGTTACCAATCGAATGGATATATTCTATTTACTCTGTATCGTATTATAAAATATCAGACTATAATGTTTTGTTCAAAACCGTCACATTTTTTTTTCGTTTCATAAAACAAAGGTTGGTTTGTTATTGTTAAGAACAAAGCTACACAATGGACTATCTGTGCTCTGTCCATCACAGGTATCGGAACCCGATTTTTAGCGTTTTAAGCCTAATTACTTACCGCTGAGCCACTGGGTGGCATTAACAAAACAAATATTTACTAAAAAAAATTATATTAATGTTTGGTCTAACTTTATACAATGTATATAAGTATTAAATTTTGATTTATTGTAAAGTCGTAGATCTATGAAGGCTAAGCCTTGTTCACCATGACACTACACCATTATCATTTATTGTAATGTGTCGAGTGTACGAAAGCTAAGCCTTGTTCACATAACACTGCACTGATTTAATTTACTGTAACGTGTTGGGCGTAGAAAGGCTAAGCCTTGTTCACCATACACTTAACTTCTACTTAATTATTTAGGGAGATAAAGAACATGAAATGGGATTACCATACTCACCATTATGTGATAGAAACACCACACTTGTTGCAGAGTCTCAAATAGGTAAGTCATGTTCTTGTTAAGCTAGGCTTAAAGATCATTATGTTGTTATAAAAAATTGTGAGACACCCATTGTATCTTTCCGTTAAATAAACCGTAAGCGTAATTGTGAACATTCATATTGTAGAAGCGTTTAGTTAAAGTAGCGTATGAATGTGTGTCATGTGTGAAATGATGAGCTAAGCCTTGCTAGGCTTAAAGATCATTATACTATTATAAAAAATTGTGAGATATCCATTGTATTATTCCGTTAAATAAAAGGCATACATCTTAATCGTAATTGTGAACAGTCATATTGTAGAAGCGTTTAGTTAAAGTAGCGTATGAATGTGTGTCATGTGTGAAATGATGAGCTAAGCCTTGCTAGGCTTAAAGATCATTATACTATTATAAAAATTGTGAGATATCCATTGTATTATTCCGTTAAATAAAAGGCATACATCTTAATCGTAATTGTAAACAGTCATATTGTACAAGGGTTTAGTTAAGGCAGCGTATGAAGGGTACCTTTAGGGTAACGTTAGTAGTTATTGTTGTATATTGAACACTGAATCAGTGTTCTGGCTACATTTTGCAGGGCATTCTGGGACATCTTGAAACTATGACTAAAGTTATCAATGGCATGTGTTGTTATTATTAAACGGGTCAAACTAGTTCCTATTTCTCCAGGATTTATTGATTTTATCGTGGCTCCAAGTATGGAAGTATGTGGAGACTTGCTGGAGAAAGTTCATTTCCAGCTCCAGCGACCTCGATCTCCAGCAGTAGAAGAGTCCATTATGGAAGAGAACTCAGAAAACAAAACTGGTAAGGTTGTTTACTACAGAATGTAGTCTCGACTCTATTAATCCATCGTTCGTAGTTAATTAATAAGTTATCAATAAGAACTTCATAGTAAAAGTAAAGAATAGTGTATTATAATTGGCCAGCCACATCATATCTGCTATGTACGATCCCTACAAAGCATTTCGCCTAATATAAAGGCTCTTCAGGTATGCTGGAATACGACAGACACAGTAGCGGTTTTTTGTTGTTGTTATCAATTCATTATAGCCCTATTATCTGGAGAACCCTAAGAGGGTTATGCATCTCTTTGGATTAAAACTGTAGCATTGAAGATATAAGTGGTGCTAAGAAGACCTGATGAAATTTATATAGCTTTGAACGATGTGAAAGTGTATTGGAGACAAGGTGTGGTGTAGGACCAATACGTATGGTTCTGGTCTTGGAGCCATTAAAGGAAGGGCGCCAGGGACGGCTCCAAGCCAGAAAAGTGTTTAAAGTAAACTGTAAAACTTTATTGAGGGTGATCATTGTTGGGCAGGTGGCTACAAGAGCTGTATTATTAGCATGTCGAGAAAAAAAAAGATGAACTGGAAATCTAGGGTGTGGCATGTCAGCAACATATAAGATATAAAGGAGAGGAGGCAACATTAATCCTTGAAGCACACCAGAGTGTAGGAAAACTAATAGTGAGAGTTTCTTCAGTGGAAAATACTATACGTCTACCAGATAATAGAGTTAATAAAAACGACTGCAAGTAAGTGGAAGTTAAAACCTACGAAGTTCGAAGGTGTCAACAGAATCAAAACCATATTCGAAGTCCAAAAGAAACATCCCAGAAGGTGTGAAAAAGATTGTAGTGGGTAGGACGCTAGAAATATTAGCAAACCATTGGACAAAGATTGGGTTAAGTTAAAGAAGTGTAATTTTTCATCAATTTTATTGGTGTCACAATACACCAGAATTTGGGTAAGGATGTTTAACATTCTTAATGCTAATTATCTTAGCAACGTAGGTTATTAATTATTATTTCTTAGCAACGTAGGTTATTAATTATTATTTTTCTCGAATTAAACTGATCATTATTCAGAATAATCTCTTAGCCGAAAAGAGGGCGTAACCCTCTGATGGTCCACCGGCCCCCACCACCACCACTCCTTTGAGCTGAAAGGAAATGAAAAAAAAATTCAGAAAAACTGGTGATCGAGCAAGCTAGTCGTCTTATTACCTATTGATCAAACATAAGTATTTTAATAATTTACAAGTTGCGTGTTACACCTACTGACAATTCACAATTTAGGCCTACGCTTTAGCATATATACCATTTGAAAATTATTTTATGTAGTTTGGTTACTTTTGCTCGGAAGTTCTAATAACAGCTTTCTCAAAACACAAAAATCATAGATCAACAAACTTCACATTACCTTAAAATATTTCCTTTGTTAACTTATACATATAAACTCAAATTATTCAAAGTATCAACGTGTAGTAAAGTAATTACCC